TCTAGAGTCCAGTTTTAGCCTACACCCCTCCCCCTGGTCTTTGGACATTACTTCTATTTCCTGACGTTCAGTGAGCGTATTGCTTAAATTTCTGGAAACAGCTCACCTTCTAGCTTAGGGTAAGACAACAAAGTGCTGTACACCTTTAGAATACAAAAATCTCTTGCTTACAGATTTTGCATTTGGATATGGTTTCTTTAACTCACCACCACCCAGTGCATTGCTTCTGAATCACATTATAGAGGACTCTTCTGTTTCCAGGACTGCAGTAGCCAAAACAGCAACAGGAGCTGAAATGCAACTGTAAAGAGAGGTTTCCCACTAAAACTAGAAGGTCAGTTCAGTAGGACTGTCACTGAACTGACCTTCTGTTAGATGAAACTGGCGGGCGGTATTTCCACATATATTTCTTTAGGGGTCCTAGGTATTCTTTGTTGTTGCCATTTAGAATCCATGTACTGATCATACTCATTTTGGCAGAGAACCCACTGTTGAGATAAGTTTTGAAAATGTTTGCTGTCCCCCAAACCACCCCACCCCACCTCACCACCCCCCAACATTGTTGCTTATGCCTAGAAAATATTTGCGCTGATAACTGCAGGCTGTTGTGCACATAGGGAAGTTAGCCACCTTGGTAGAAATTAGAGGGAGGGAAGGAGGAGGAAAGAACAGTTTTATTTTCAAAATCCAATCCAGTGGAAAAACCAGAAATCCAAAGACATACAGTCCTCCTATTAGGAAAGCTAGGACCAACAAAGTGAAATCAGATATATTTGTTTAGGAAAAATAGGGAGCGGTTGCTTTCTTTATGTTAAAAGTATGTATGCAAACTTTAAAACTGCTCGGATACCTTCATTCCTAATTCTTTTTTGTTAAATAAAATTTTAAAAGTAAAAACTCAGGAACATTAGCTTACTTATGTAAAGTCTTTATATTAAGCAGATTTTTAAAATATATATCTTTAAAATGTTAGTTTCCCAAAGTGATGAAAAGAAAAAGCACTTATAATGTGCTGGATATTGTTTTAAAGTACTTTACATTTATTAAACATTTTAATCATTACAACAGTGCTGTGAGGTAGGTACTATTACTATCCCTGTTTTATATACAGGGAAACTGAGGAACAGTCAGGTGAGAAACCTGCCCAGGGTCTCATAGCTAGTGTTTGGCTGTGCTGGGGATTCAGACCCAAGAAGTCCAGCCTCAATACCCCTGCTCTGAATTCCTGCACTGCACCTAGGGCTCTCATGGACTGCATGTGTGCATAGATCAGTTGGAGTTTAGGACAAAGGTGATGATACTAGGGGTAATAAGACATTATATATCGAACACCTGATTGTGTATCAAAACCTTTACATGGGCTTCCTGAACTATGACCCTGTTGGGTAGATTTACATCCACTTAATAGATTGGTAAACTGAGGCTTAATGAGAGAACCTAACTTGCACCGGGTCTCACAGCTGCTAGGAGGCAGAATCATAACTGCAGCTCGGTGTGTTTGCCTCTAACCTTTGCTCTTCACCTCCATACTACACTGCTCTTGCTTTGTTTGTTAATTCTCATATTCTAATATTCTTATATAGTAATAACAAGTGTAAAATCATCAAGGTTTCTCATTAAGTGATCAGTCACTTTGGCCTCTGGTGGTATTTGATGGGGTAGGGTCAGGGGAAAGTAACTGGAAAAGAAAAACCAGATTCGCCTTACTCTTCCCCCCCGCCCCCCCAGCTTTCAATTTCAACCCTTCCCCAAGAGAAGAAAACAGTCCTTCCTGCAGACTTCTCTAGAAAAAGCCACCCCTGCGAGCTTCCACTGGTTTGCTTTGCTTTAAGCACCATCCACAGAAAGAGTTTTTAACTGCCATACACTGTGCATAAGCCTTATGGAAAACTGATGCCCAAGTTGATTAGCAGACTGGCAGTTGAACAGGAGACTGTTTCTTCAGACCCCGCAAAGAGAATTTCCTTGTTCATCTTACATGTTTAAATTGTAGTATCTCCTTTTCTATCTACGCCTCCCGCCTCCAAATATTACACAAACAAATATTACATGGCTTAAACATACAATACACACATACTTTTGCACATAACCACATTCTGTGATTTGGAGCATTCTGTGTGTCTGTCTCAAATTCCCTCCTCCCCCTGCTCCCCCATGGGTTTTTCCCCCCATTAGGCAAATGGAAGGCCCATGCCACCTGTTAGCATTACATCATTGGCTCCCCAGAACACAGTTGCACCAAAGGCCTTAAACAAAGTAGTTCTTCTTGTATTGTTTGCACTCAAAGAGCTGATATCATGCCAACTGATGTCATTGTATGTCTTTGTGTAACTGCTATGGCAACTGGGCAGGTGGGGAGCCTCCAGCTGATGTCATTGAGAAAGGAGGTGTAGAGGCAGAATTTTAAAAAGCTGGATGCTGCTTTTTTCTGTGTGTGGGGTTTTCTAGCATGCAGTTTTGTTTTTTTGTTTTTTTGTTTTTTTTTTTCTTAACTAGCTGCTTTTAAGACAAATTATAGCTGAGTACCCTAAATAAGAACAGAGAGGTTTCCCCCACTTTTAGAAACTTCTTTTGAATTTGTTTTATTGTTCTTTCCTCTCATCTTATATGGGAAAATGTAACAACTGCCTTTTTTGAAGAAAAAAGTGAATTAGGTTCCCATCACAGAATCTGTGTGGAATTTGGATTTTTGTGGAGGCAAAGCTGAGCAGATTTTAAAATGACTCTTCAGAATCCCTTGTGTGGAGGCTGTGACGAAAACGGGTAGTTTTTATCTTATTTACTTTTTAAGTCTTCACTGGTGAAGTGTTTCTATTTTCCATGTTTCTTTTCTTTCTACTTCAAAATTATCTCTTACAGTTTAAACTTTATTATCGTAATTGCCTAGCAGAATAAACTATCATGTAAGGGCAGAGGCTAATTCTAGAAATCAATTAAAATTAGTATAGAGCTCTTGTTTTTCTTTTCAAAAAGCTGAGGAGGTTTTGAGTTTTTACTTTCGATGAGTAAAGTGAACATACTATTGCCCTTTGAGTTTTCTTTGGATCATAACCATACCTTAAGGAGAATGTGATTTCTCTTTTATACAACCAGCTCTGGGTCCATTGGCTCTGAACAGTCATGAGACTCAGTCTAGGTTATGGTCTGGAGTTTCCCACTGTGGTTTGCCAAAGATGAGACTTGAAATGGAGAAGAACATACGCTAGGCTCAGAAGCTAGTGGACAGATAGGCTTCCTGTCCTTATTGCCACATAACCATCTCCGGCTCATGCTTTGGGTTTTCTGCCTTATCTCCTGGAGCGATCAAGACAGCCACAAACCATCTGTCTTTGAGAGTACATGTTGTGTTCTGGTGGCTTTCAGCTGATAGGAGTTTTCCAACTTCCCCCTCTTTTCAAAGGGAAAGCCAGAGTGTGTCTAGTTCTTCTGTTTGATTAGAATTAAAGCTCAGTTGGCACTAATTATGTCAATCAGATTTTATAGCACTTACATGTATATTATATAAGTTGAGCTTTGGGTTTATCTGTGCATGCTATTGTGTGTAAAAACATTAGCAGAAAATTTAAACAATAAACTGTGATCCATAAATTCCCTACCCTAACTTAAACAAGTATTCTTTTTTTTTTTTTTTTTTTTTTTGTACAGTCCTTCAGCTTTTGGTGAAGGTTTTTTACTTAGCTTTTTAAACATTTAATATTAAACCAAAATATTTATTTTCACATCCTTTTGGCAACTACTCTTTTAATGGCTACATAATATTCCATGAAATGAATGCATTAATTTTTCCTTTGTTTTCTTCTTCTTTTAATTTACTTTTGTTTTTTACTTGGCCTTTGCTTTTTATAAAACAGATAATATTGTAGTGAACATCTCCACAATCTAGCTAACTATCTTTGGTTAGATTATTTCCCTAAGATCCATTCCCAAAAGTGAGATCGTACTTGTTCAGGGGAAGGTTTGCATTTTTAAAATGGAGGAACAAGCACAGTTTATAAGCTATTTATGCTAGACCCATAACTCTTGGGAGGCAGGGCGGAGCTGTAAGCTCAAAAGTATGCATTCGCAGACCCGTGAGAGGTTTCTTGATGGGTTTATGTGCTCACAAGCCTTGGAAAGTCGAGTAATAAGGAACCACGCTGCTCTCACATTCTGTTCTACTGAAATTCAGGGTTGACAAATGTCAGGGACCTACATGGAGAATATCAAAAAAGATTCAAAGAGCCATCACCCCATCCTGGCTTATCTTTTCCAAGTACTTCTCTGCTGCTTTCACCTGTAAGCAATCATATAAATAATATAAATTAAAATAATGAATACCTGCTGAGCTCTACTGTGTGCCAGGAAATTTGTGAAATATTTTAACACGTATTCATTTATCTCAGGCTCACAATCACACTCAAAGGGAGACGCCATTACCCTCAGTTTACAGATGGTGGAACTGAAGCACAGGGATAAATACACTTGTTTAAGTCATAGTGTCAGGAAATGATGGTACCCAGATTATAATCAAGGTAACCTGTCTCTTCCAATGTTCCTGCTTGTAACCACTTTGCTGTATTGGGAACAAACATGGGCCTCTGGGTAAGGTGAGCTATGAAGGGTACAAGACATGCTCCTATGGTGCTGAGAATCCACCTAGGGAGGTCATCTGTACCTTTCTTGGCTCCCAAAGTGCAAGGTTCTATGTAGGCCACTGAGCATATGGCTCTTTGAGGCAGGTCACATTTGCAGCTGAGGAAATTGCCTGATACTGCGTGGAACTCTAAGGGAACATGCCCTCATTTGTAGAAAGAGCACATTTCCAAAGTGTTCTATGCAGTGATATTCCCCGAAGCGTGTCTTGGGTCTCTAAATGGACTTTTATTTTTTGTTTTGGTGTTATATATATGTGTGTATTTAAAATAGCATGAGCTACAAGCAAACTCACTCTAATGGGGAGATGGCATTTTCTGCCACCTTTGAAATCTCAGTCCGTCTCACCTTCTGTGTTTGTGTTCCAGGTGGACTCAGTAGTTTTAAGCAGAACCATGAAAACCTCTGTGACAACTCCCTCCAGCTCCAAGAGTGCCGGGAGGTGGGGGGCGGCGCATCTGCGGCTTCGAGCTTGCTACCTCAGCCCATCCCCACCACCCCTGACATCGAGAACGCTGAGCTCACCCCCATCTTGCCCTTCCTGTTCCTTGGCAATGAGCAGGATGCTCAGGACCTGGACACCATGCAGCGGCTGAACATCGGCTACGTCATCAACGTCACCACTCATCTTCCCCTCTACCACTATGAGAAAGGCCTGTTCAACTACAAGCGGCTGCCAGCCACCGACAGCAACAAGCAGAACCTGCGGCAGTACTTTGAAGAGGCTTTTGAGTTCATTGGTAACTATCTCCCACAGGGAATTTTTATCCTCTGCCTTCCTTTCCCCTCCGGCTCTTGCTCTGATATCAAGTTCAAGGTTTATTCCTGTGTTACAAAAAAACAAACAAACAAACAAAAACTGCCCTGGAGTTTCTGGGGGCTCTGCTACCTGAAACCACCTAAGCGTTCTCCTAAGTCATAGCCCGTCGGGTGTATCCAAGCCATTAGGATGAGTATAAAAGAACAGTAATTGAATTTGTTGGGATCCGTTCAACTAGAAATCCTCATCCCTTGGGTTCTCAATGAAATAGGGGTAGGGGTTAGCATTTACATGCTCTATAACCAGAAGAATGGATGGAAAGTGAGGAATTGGAGGCCTGAGCTGCTGCTGCTGCTATTTGATCTACTAGCACCCTTCAGCACCTTGAAAGCAACATACAGTGAATATGACATCCCTTCCAAACACATCCATGCCTTCCTGTCTCCCTGCTAAGCCTATCCATCCAGCATAAGAGGAGATGGTACTAGCTTTTCTTTGACAGTCTGCCCCAAACTCAGGGAAGTAGGAAAGATCAGGTTGTGTAACCGGAGTAGTTTCCAAGGAGGAAGTTTTACCAACTGCAGGCTTTAATCCCCAGAAGGAAGCAACTAGCAGCCTAATCCTAATCTTAACTTCTGCAACTTCTATAGCTCCAAACTGCTTCAAGACTCAAATATCATTTTGGGAACACCTGCAATATAGCAAAACTCAACATTTGTTTATTTTTAAGTAACTTCAACTCATATCACCCTAAAGGGGTGGCCTAGTACTTTTGCTAAATATTACAGCAGGTTGTTACCATTCCAGGAAGAATAGATTTAAGTGGAGTGGGGTGTTCCCTTGTCAGAGAAAAAACAAAACAAAACAAAAAAACAGCCTTAGGTTTAACAGCCATTGGGGTCTGGTGGATATACTGTAGTGTTATATCTCTGGTCATTTTGGCAAGCTGTTTTCATTGCTAATTATGCCATGAGCACAGGACCGTGGAATACTGAGTCTGAAAGGACATTCAGAGTGATCACTGAACTTAGAGAAGTAAAGTGACTTCTCCACGGTCATAGGAATTCTAGTGTCCAAGAAGGGACCAGAATCCAGGGTTTTTGACTCCCAAGCCTGAGGCTTTTCACAACACACTAGGGTGATGTTTATGATGCCATATTAAGTAGCTCCCAACTGGCAACACTTGAGGATGCAGAGATACTGTAGATTCTTTATTAATAAAATCTGAGCCAAACCTGGAGCACTGAGGAAGAAAAATTTCTCAACAAGCAGATGAGGAACTTCTGGTTGATACATGATGTTATGACTGAGATTCCATCTGACTTAATTCCAGTTGGAGGAAGTTAGGAAATTATTTTCTATTTAATGAGTAGGGTAAGAAATCCTCTTGTTCTAAGAGGATTTCAACCAAAGCTCTCACATTCATTATAGATTACTCAGGCTTACCTGTGCCCACCCCCCCCCCTTTTTTTTGGAAGGAAAACAAAACCAATAACAAATAGCATTTAGCCTGAAGAACAATTCCGAATCACAACCCGCACAGGCACAGTTTTATTTTCATTGTTATATTATTGGGTAAACTGAAATCTCACAGTCTTGCTTTAGGAAAAACACAGCAGGTTTTATAAACATAATAACTTTCACTGAGAGTCTAATATAAACTAAGCAGCATCTAAGTTTAGTGTTTATGCCAGTTTATTAATTCCTGAATCAAGTGTGTGTAGTGGAACCGTAGTCTAGCTGGGCACTTAGAAGCTCATTCTCTTACCACCATGATTTCTAGTCTTGACTTGGAACTAAATATTGTGTGCTGAAGGGAAGAAGTGGAAAAAGAGAGATGCTTTTCTTGAAATACTGTTGACTATGAGACGTAAACCTCATCTGTCAATTGAGATACAAAGCTACATCAGGTTTCTTTTCTTTTTCCTGGTCCACTAGAAGTAGTTTGGTCCAGAAGCAGTTTAGGTGAAATGACTACTCTCTCTACCCCTTCTCCCTCACTACCTGTTTATCTAATTGGTGTTCCTTCAAGGAAGCTTTCTTAGGGATGCGTTATAGTCTAGAAATGTCATTAATAATCTGTTCAGTCAGTGCCCACATGCTATTCTCCTGAGTCTTTAATATATCTAAAAACTTAGCAAGTCTCTCCTTTAAATTGCTCTGGATTTTGAGCCATTGATGGAATTCCTCCATCTTCTGCATTATTGCCATATTAGAATGTCATACGGGGATGCAAAGGGGGTTGAACACTTGAGAGGTAACACCCTGAGCCTGTGTGCTACTGGTCTTTAGTTAACTTTGCAACAACTGGATTTTCTGGGGAGAAGCTGAACATAGTGTCTTTCTAGTTTAGCTGTATTCCTTTAACTTTAATCAGGGTTTAGTATGACTAAAACTCTTATCCATTTAATGCCCGTTCCTGTACAGAGCAAATCTATGGAATAAAAAAAGTGTTTTTTCTCTATCACAGGTGAGAGAGTTGTTGTTACGAGCACTAGGTTACTGACAATTGGAATTAACATTCTTAATCCAAAGAGGAACTGTGTGTGTGTATATATATATATATATATTTACATATATATTTATATATATTTATATATATATAAATATATATATATACATACACACACATATACATACATATATTTGTGTGTGTGTGTATGTGTGTTTGTGTGTATAATTTTCCCCTCCCTCTCTCCTTTTCCTTCCTTCATTTTTTTTTTCGGTAGTGTGATTCCAGAAAAAAAGAGAACATGACATTTGAGAGAGGGTCAGTGACTGTTATAGTGGACTTCATCAGTAGCTTGTTCAACATGAAAGTTATCTGTGTTATAGGTCTGGCTTTAGGCCACTGCTGTCACCTGTGAAGCAAACTGTTCCTATGAGCAATTATTTCATTTAATCCTCTCTTTAAGTGTAGATATATAGCTTCTCATTCATGCTGATATCAACTTTTGCCAGTTCTGGAAGTTGTGACATGAATATACATAATGAACTTGTAGATTATACTTGGCTTTAAAACTGTTTTAATTCACTGTTTCTCGACAAAATAAAGCATTGCAAAGTTTAGATAAAAGTTTCTCCCTCCATGCCTCTCTCTTTCGTCTTCTCTTCATCTCTTGTCTTTCTCCCTTCTTCCAGAGGAAGCTCACCAGTGTGGGAAGGGGCTTCTCATCCACTGCCAGGCTGGGGTATCCCGCTCCGCCACCATCGTCATTGCTTACTTGATGAAGCACACTCGGATGACCATGACTGATGCTTATAAATTTGTCAAAGGCAAACGACCAATTATCTCCCCAAACCTTAACTTCATGGGGCAGTTGCTGGAGTTCGAGGAAGACCTAAACAATGGTGTGACACCGAGAATCCTTACACCAAAGCTGATGGGCGTGGAGACGGTTGTGTGATGATGGTCTGGATGGGAAGGATTCCTGTTCTCCATTAGGAGACAATAAGGAAGGAGGATGGATTCTGGTTTTTTTCTTTTCTTTTTTTTTTTTTTTTAGTTGGGAGTAAAGTTTGTGAATGGAAACAAACTTGTTTAAACACTTTATTTTTAACAAGTGTGAGAAGACTATAACTTTTGATGCCATTGAGATTCACCTCCCACAAACTGACAAATTAGGGAGGTTAAAGAAGTAATTTTTTTAAACCAACAATAAAAATGTAATACAACTCGTTTCTCCCCCTTTTCCTTTTAAGCTATTTGTAGAGTTTATGACTAAATAGTCTGTGCAGGTTCATAGACCGAAGATACTACACACTTTAAACCAATTAAAAAGAACCAAAAGTAAATAGAAAAGACATTGAATCACCAAGGCCTGGGGTCCTCCTGGGCTGTCCACATAGAAAACAAAAACCTACCAAACCAGGCCCTGTTGTGCTCACTGGTGCAAAGAGAAAATCAGGGCAGCTTAAGTGGTCTAAGAATCCTTCAGGCATTCTTTAAAGAGACAAAGGATATCTGATTTTGTGTGTTTCATGCTCTGGATTTTTTTTTTTTTCCTTCTCTGTGTTTAAGAGATTTTTTTTTTTTTTTTTAATAGTAAGGAACTGACCATTATACCGTACGCCTTCACTGGCTTCCTGTGCAATAATATGATGTTTTAAGTGTGCAAACAAGTTAGAGCTGGCAGCTGAATGATAGACAAATATTGCAAATTTGCCAGCTTGGAGATAGAAAGGAATTCAACAATATATCAGTTACTTTCCTTCCCACCTTTTTCCTTTTTTTTTTTTTTTCTTTGATTTGATTCTGGTTACAGTACCATAAACCTTGTTACATATGTATATCAGAATGTAAGAAAAAAAGAAAAAATTATTTAAAAATATTTTTCGCAAAAAAAAAAAAAATCTTGGTGTGTTTCTGTTGATTGTGTAAAATTTTATTTTCATTATATAAATGAAACTGGTTTGGGATGTGTGTTTTTTCCCCCGTCTTTTACCTTAACTCAGGTTCAAGCCTTTCTTAGCTCTGGTAACTTGCATATATAACAAAGTTGAAATAAAACACAGATTTTTGTATAGGGAAAGAGAGATGAGAAAGACACATATCTAGTCTTCTGAGTGTGAAGCAGAGAGAATTAGCAAGGAAGTGAAAGAGCTCCAGTATTGATCTACCCAGTCACTATCCCCTCTATTCTCATAATGCCGTCATCCTCCTCTGCAAATATAATTCCTCTCACATTGGGGAAGCTTTGTGTAAAGTGAACTTAAGGGGATCCCATCTGCCTTTGCACCTTGGTGACCAAATCACTGCCAGATTGATTGGTGAGAATTCAGTGATCTCTCCAGTGGCTATTAGATAAATATTTATGACAATCTTTCATTTAGGGATCTTGATATTTCCCTGACCCCTCCATTGTCACTTGCTCATTTGACATCTTTGGTGACATTAACATGTAATGCATTGCAGCAAATCACTGTTGCCTACTCTTTTCCCAGAGAACTGAAACTGAGCTTTGTACATATGTACAGCTTCCTTATAACATTGGGTTAATGCATAGCTGGGTTCCCAATTCACTGTTGATGGAGGGTTGGGGGCATGGGAAAAACATAATGCAAATATTTTCTATGTTTAATTAAAATAGAAGTCTAGTGGGACTTGGCCATAAGGAAGATTTATGGCAAACTGAAATTTGCCTGGGGTGAATAAAAGAGTTGAAGAATCTGGCATGTTGGAGTCTATGTGATGGCATTTGACATAAATAATTTTGTGTATGTTGACTTGAAAATGTTAAAATATTTTTTGACATTTTTTTAAAAAGTGGCTTTTCTACCAAAAATAATTTTAATTTTATAGAAAAGTGGAAACTGAATTTAACAGCAATTAACAGAGCTGTTTTGGATTATTTTAATACAAAGTATTAATCAGGTGAAAAGTAAATCTCTGCTTTGTACTTTCTACTCTTCAGACAATTTCCTTGATGCTAGAGTTTATTTAAGGAGTCAGGTTGATATATAATTCGTGATTTAAAATACATGATACTTTATCAGACATTTTTGTTAAAGTCTAAATGTTAAATTTCTGATAGTATGTAAGGTATATTGCTGCCCTCTCTCTCTTCATTCTTTCCTTCTGATTTTTCTGTGTTCTCCCTCCCTCCCTCCCTTCCTCCCTCCCTCCTTTCCTTCCTCCCTCCCTCCCTTCCTCCCTTCCTCCTTTCCTTTCTCCCTCCCTCCCTTCCTCCCTCTCTCCTTTCCTCCCTCTCTCCTTTCCTTCCTCCCTCCCTCCCTTCCTCTCTCCCTCCTTTCCTTCCCCCCTCCTTCCCTTCCTCCCTCCCTTCCTCCCTCCCTTCCTCCCTCCCTTCCTCCCTCCCTCCCTTCCTCCCTCCTTCCTCCCTCCCTGCCTCCCTTCCTCCCTCTGTCCCTTCCTTCCTTTGCTTCCTCCCCTTCTTTCCTTCCTTCTTTCTCTCTTTCTTTTTTCTTTCTTTCTAACAAAACAAGGAGAAAAATCAATACAGTTTCTCATCTTTATCCATATGGAAATGATTTATGTTTTTGGAAGTTTATAATTTTGAGAGAAAGCCTATCCTGGGGCAAATAGTAATCCTGCCAATCAGAATACCAAGGATCCTGAGAGGGACTCAGGTCTTTTCTACTAATCTCTGAATCACTTAGCCTCTATTTCGTCATAAGGAATGTAACCACTTTATGAAAATAATACAGATTAACCAAGCCATAGCTCTAGAAACCAGACTCCACAGGTTGCTGGGCCTCACTAGCTGTCTGAGAGCTTTAGGGCTGCCTTAGGAGATAATCGTGTCTTCCCAAGAAAGCTGAGTCCCTGGCCAATGCATGAACCATTCTCAGACTCCAGCAAGGGTTGTTTTACACTTAGTGAATCTAATTACTTAGTAGAATGAATCTGTAATTAATTTTAAAAACATAGCAAGCATTGTTATCTTGAGCTGAACAAAATAGTAGCTTCAGCTTTCTATATATATATTACATTTATTTCAATAGTTAATGCTTTTCCAATCAATGAATGTTAAACAGGATAGGAGGTTTTCATTTCTTGAAAGAGTTTGTGCCAGTTTCTTCCAGACAAGGAAAGGCAACATGGGAGGTAGGGCAGAGAAGTTGATAAATGGAAAACATGTACACAGGGAAATATGCAAGAAGAAATGTACAGAACCCCACAATCACATGCTGGCAGTAAAGGGGAAAAATGTCCTTTTGTAATGAAATATGAGAAACAGGAGAAAATGGGAGGCTAAAAGGAAAAGAATAAAAAAATTATGTCAGGGTACAGAACTAGGACCTGAATTACACTCCAGAGGCAGACTCAGATAGAATGCTAATAAATTGCTCAACTAGATATTCCCATAGTTAAGAAGTCCAATGAGCCAAATTAAATAGAGGTCAATCAGTGACGGCCTTCACTTTGTTTGGGAACAGGCTCTTGTAAATAGGCCACAATACATTTTATTTATGCTTTTTTTCCCCAAACATGAAACATGTAATCTCAGGAAATATAGATTACTGTTTGGTTTCAAGCTCTGATTGGACATAGTTGTTGCATATGGGTGGGGGTCAGATGGAGTGAGGTAGAAAATTACTATTTAGCACTGGCACCCAGAAAGATGGGCCATAATTCAGAAGTGCTCCAAATTACACCTATCTATAGAAGACTTCCCGCCTTTTTGAGGTGGTGGAATATGAACAGCAGTGCTTCCTGTGGTTTCTGATTTCTTCCTTCATGACACCTTTTCAGTGTTTGGTACAAGGTGCATGTATCAGGGTTTAATAAGAAGGAGACACAGTGATATAGAATGAGCGGTTTATTCCAGGGATTAGACCTCATACAAGTGTGGGATGTGATGAAGTCAATGGGAGTGTGTTGCATCTGTCTGATAACAGGCTGAATTCTCTGGGTCAGCACGGCCATCAGTAACAAAAGCTGGATATGAACTAGAGGAGAACAAAAAAGAAATGGAATTAGGAGGAAAAACTGGAACCCGTATCAGCCTTTTACCAACCTCAATGTGGATGGCTTCCAGAGGGATCGAGTGCTCTCTGCCATAGAGCTGAAGACCTACCTAGCATAGAACTTGGCAAAACTGAAGACAGAGCTTTGGGAACTTCAATCACAGCTGCTTCACTAAGTGCAGGTGAGTCACCACATCACGGAAAAGATGTGCTTGCAATCATAGAGTTTGGTGCCCCCTTCAAAAGCCTGCTTCTTCAATTCTGCTTTTCCAACCTCGTGCAAATTTCCCTTAAGGCTAACCTTAACTCAGTGTGAATCAGGAGAGGGAATTCTGGAAAATACAGTTCCCGATTTAGCTAAGTTGATACGGTAGAAAACTATCATAATCCATCCCTTGCCAACTTGGCATCCATGTCCACGTCTCTTAACTAAAGGTAACTTCCAAATGAAGACATTAGCAAAATGATGCTTCTACCAAATAGGATGCAACTATCAGTTCTACAGATGAAAAAACACTGAAAACAAAAGACGGCCAGGCGCAGTGGTCATGCCTGTAATCCCAGCACTTTGGGAGGCTGAGGTGGGTGGATCACTTGAGGTCAGACGTTCAAGACCAGCCTGGCCAACATGATGAACCTGTCTCTACCAAAAACACAAAAATTAGCTTGGCATAGTGGTGCATGCTCTATGATTCCCCTATCAGGTTAGTGGCTTCATGTAGATTCCTGCATAATAGAGGAATTACATACCTGTAATTCCAGCTACTCTAATCACTCGAACCCAGGAGGCAGAGACTGCAGTGAGCCAAGATTGCACCACTACTCGCCACCCTGGTTGATAGAGTCAGACAATGCCACAAAAAAAAAAAAAAAAAAAGAGGAGACATAGCCTCATAGGTTACTTTGTCCATTTTGGGGACGATGTGCAGTCCTTTTTTAGCTGAGATCCACTTTCCCTTCGATGTCATGTACTTTAAATATATTGAGATATAAGGATGTTATGGGTTGAATTGTGTCTGTTAAAAAGCCATGTTGAAGTGCTAAACCCTGGACCTTGTAAATATGATCTTATTTGGAAATAGGTTCTTTGCGGATATAATCAAGAAGAAGTCATATTGGATTATGGTGGGCTCTAATTCAGTGACTGGTGTACTTAGGAGGGGAATTTGAAGACAGACACAAAGAATGTCAAGTAACAATGCAGGCAGAGATTGGACAAAGAAACATCAAAGATTACCAGCAACCATCAGAGGCTACAAGAGAGTCATTGAGCAGATTCTCCCTCAGGGCCTCTAAAAAGGAATTGACTCTGCCATCACCTTGATTTTGGACTTTTAGCATACAGACTGCAGTAAAATTAATTTCCATTGTTTTAAGCCACCCAATTTGTGCTACTTTGTTATAGCAGCCCTAGGGAACTAATACAAAAACTAACTATAGTTACCCCATTTTATATTAGATGGTGGATGGGAGAGAAAAAAAGAATTGATTAATATATGATGAAATACATTTCTATTAAGAAATATTTATAATCCTTTCCTTCCTAATTTCTATAACTGATCTTGTAGTCATAGCTGGTATTTATAACTTCCTTCTTTCACTACTCATTCCATATACTTGTGTCCTCAGCAAGCACATTGCCTAGTCATGGTTTCTTGCCTATTGGGGTGATCTCAATTTTCATTTTTGACGGATTCAGTCTTTTGCAGTTGAGCCCTAATTGGGTTATTTTCCGCCTACTTTGCTTGTTACAGTAACAAAAGTAATTACAAGACTTGAAGGTATAAGATATGACCTTGAGTTCCAGGCACACTTTTTCTTACTCCTACAAGCTAGTAGTAATCCAATTTCCCTTTGATAGTCACAGTCATCCCAGCCCATACATTAATATCTTACTTTTCTTATTGATTCTTTAGCATGAGGATCCCAAAGCCGCCTGCAGGGAATATCAACTTCTGTCTTGATGGAATCATAGCTGTATCTCCTATTAGAAGCATCTCTCCCTTGGAAACCAGAACTTCTAGACCAACAGAGTCTAAAGTTGAGAATAGAAAGAATAAATTTTGCTGTTGATCACTATGGGTAACAGTGAGAGGAGTCCGTTCCATCTTCACCCCTGGATTCCTGAATCTATGAAATCTGGATAAGGGAGAAACAGCAATATGCATTGATGGATCATTTAGAGAATTTACTGCATCTTTCAGGACATTATCCTAGCCCTGCAAAGTGTTTTCATCCATCTAGCACAGTAAATAAATTGTTAAAAGAAGAATTCCACCTTTCTACTGCTTTACAGTGATGGATAACAAGTTAAGACTAATGAATTCCACGATCATGAGTCTGCTATTCTTTATTTGCTGCAAAGTAAGTTCCTTGGTCAAAAGCAAAGCATTGTGGAATACCATGATGGGAAATAAGATATAAGAATTCTGTACGTCCATAGATGCTGATTTTGGCAAAGGTATTACAGATAGGGAAGACAAATCCCTATGAAGAGTAAGTTTTTTATGGAGCAAGAACAAAATACTGCCCTTTCATGCCTTGTGAGCAGAAGTTCATGTTGCTGAACTCACGCATACCCTCCATGTCTACCGCCATGGCTATTTTGTTCATGCACCTATTGGTCAAGGACAGAAGAAACTGAAGAGAAAAATCTGATAGAGGTCTGTAGAATGTGTCTTCTTGCCCATTATTAAGATCCATACATGCTGAGGTTTAACTTTGATGAGCATTCACATGGGCCCATTTAGAAAGATCTATCCATTTCCTTCTTCCCCAGATTTTCCTGTCACTAATTTTCCAGGCATGTTTCTTCTAAGTCCCTTAGTATCCATCTAAACTATTAGCTACTGCTCATGAAGCAATGTAGATTTGTACCCCTGGCTCTCTCTCCTTTGAAGCAAAATGAACAATTAGGTACACTGCTGGAAGTTCTCCCTACTGGGAAAATTATTCTTCCTCACACCACCATTGTAGGGCCACAACGATGTAGTCATTCAGTTTTGGATGATATCAGAATATCATGCAAAAATTTCTGTAAACAAGGCCAAATATTTTTCAGTCCACTGGTCACTGAGTGCTTCCCATGAGGCCATGGGTGTAAGATTCTGAAGCTATTGTAGCACAAATAGACACCATGGATAACTGGGTCACTTGCTTATTCAATGTACTTGTGCTTGATCTCAAAAACCCTACTTACATTTGATCATGGAATGCTATACTTCATGCCTAACTTAGAGGCTGGATGGATCCACAACACTTAGTTCATCATGGGCAGTTCAGGTTGCATTATAACTTGATGGCCTATGATCAAGCTTTCAGTTTCAAACCGGTATTCTAAAGAAGAATTTTGAAGAAAAAAGAATTTCTGAATTAAAAGAATAATTTTTCTGAAGAAGTTGTTATAGTTTTGCTCCAGAATTCTAAATGTCTGCTCTATGATTCACCCTATCAGATTAGTGGCTTCATGCAGGATTCCTGCCCAATAGAGACATTTTTAGTGCCATGGAATCTACTGGATCTAGATGTAAGAGCAGTATGCATGGCAGCCTTGAACTGCTGTAGAGGCTTTTCTTATTCTAGACCCCACACAAAACTAATGACCTTACATCTTACTTGGTAAATGGATTGTAGTAGCATGCCTAATGAGATATATATTCGCTTTAAATCCACGAAGGCCCATTAGATATTGTCCCTCTTTCTTACTGGTAAGAGAGGTCAGATATAGCAACTTGTCATCATGTTCACGAATGGAGCATCTTGGCATGCTCAAAACAAGTAAATCACTACAGATTTCAATAACATATTCAGTGGATATAAACTACTGAATTTTGTGGAATTTATTTATCACTCTTTGGTATGCAAGTCTCTTAACAACATATCTAAAACTAGTTATTTCATCCTGTTTACCAGGTACAGTAAGCATGATATAATATCATTAATACAATGTATCTGCATGGTATCTGGTGGAATGGATAGACAATTATGGTCTCTATGGACTAGATTATAACACAGGGCTGTAAAGTTGAAATAGCCCTGAAGTAGGACAGTGGAGGTATATTACTAACCCTGTTGGCTGGAAGCAAATTTCTTCTGATGATATTTACCAGAGATTAGCAAACATTCTCTGTAAAGAGCTAGAAAATGAATATTTTAGAATTTGTAGGACATACTATCTGCCATAATTACTGAAATCTGCTGTTGTAGCACAAAAGCAGCCAAACATAATATATGCGTAAACGGATGTAACTGTGTTCTAATAAAACTTTATTTATAAAAATCCAGTAGTCTGAATTTGGCCCATGAGCTACAATTTGCTAATTTCTGGACTTCATTAACAGGTATAGAGAAATAAGTATTTGGCAGCTCAATGGCTCCTGACCAGGTGCTGCTAGCCATATCTGTTTGTTCCATCAATGAAACTACATTTGGAACAACAGCTGCAATTGGAGCCAACATCTGATTGAGATATTAAAACTTCACTGTCATTCTTCAGAATTCATCTGTGTTCTGCATAGGATAAATTGGGAAAGTAAATCAGGAATTTGATAGGAATCGCCATCCTTGCGTTTTGTTTCAATTCCTGTTGGTGGCTCTAATCTTCATAATTCTTTAAGGGTTCCTTTTGTTGACTATTTTGGCATATTGCTTATTGCTGCATAATAAACTATTACAAAACTTAGGGAGTTAAAACAATAACAATTGTTTTGCTCACTAATCTGTTTTAGGCAGGTTCAATAAGGAAAGCTCATCTCTGATAAACTCATGAAGATAAGACATATCATCTGGGAAGGCTTGGCTGGGGCTGGAGAACCTACTGCCAAGATAGCTCTCTCAAATGACTGGTAAGTGCTTCTTACAGTTGACTTGGAACTCATCCAAGGTTATCCACTGGATACCTTGGCTCCTCTCCACATGGACCTCTCCATGGGGATGCTTGGGCTTCCTGAAAACATGGCAGCTAGTTTCTAAGAACAAGTATTCCAGAAGGCATGGATAAAAGTTGTAAGTATTCTAAATCACTTAAAATCTGAAGTACTGGATCACTTCTGCCAAATTCCATTTATTAAGTGAATCAGTAATGCAAGCCCAGATCTAAGGGCTGGGAAATTAGACTTCACTTCTCAGTGCATAGAGTAGCAAAGGACTTGTGGCCCCATCTTTAATCCATGATAGTTCACTTTGCACAACAAAGCCAAAACTAGGAGACTGGCAAATGTTACTACCCTCAGAGGAGAGTTTTTTAGGAAAATAATATCAAATTTCACAGTTCTACGAAACCACTGGGGGCTCTACTGAGCAGTATTTCAAATAGATTATACTCTACCAAGTGAGCAAGAGAAGTTAGAGAGGTAGAGAAAAAGGCCCAAAGAAAAGAATAGAACGCAAGTATTTATTCATTAGTACTTGTTCCTTATGTATGTCAATTCCAAGAAAGTCATCAGAAAGACAGTTCCTTTCTGCTAATCTGGACATGAGTGTCTGGGATTCTCTTAAAAGTGATCTTCTCAATGCCAGGCAGCACTGGACCTTAGCATTTATCTATTTATTTGTTCATTCAACAAACATGTGTTTCATTTATATCTTTCACTTTATATTCTTGCCCAAACTATGGCAAGTGTTTATTGAGAAGACTCTACCCTTGAGGAGCCCACAGCCTTCCATGTATCTATTTAGACTATAGGTTAAAGATGTACCTGGTCTTCCCTATAACACCTAGGTCAGTGTCTTGCTTATAGTATTGATCAGTATTTTGTTACTGAGTGATCAGAGCATTTTTATTCCGTTGGCTTTTGACATCTAAAATACTTGTTGGCTTATAAAACCCCAGAATATTTAACAATCAGCTCTCATAAGCTGGCATGTGGGATAGTATCAAAAAGCTCTCTTCTGAGGTAGAGCTTTATCTCCTTACGAGGATAAGGCTGTCACAGCAGACAGTGCCTCAAGGATCTTTTTTTTTTTTTTTTTTTTTTTTTTTTTTTTTTTTTTTTTTTTTTTTATCTTTAGCTAATTTAAAGCTGTCTCTCCTTATTTTGAATGGGAGGAAGAAAATAGCTGATTAGAAATAGGGGGAAAATAGTGTCAGGATTGATGGTGGAAGAGCAGCAAAATAATTATTATTATAGTTGTAATGCTCTGCATTTATATGGTATTTTTTTCCAAAGGTCTCAGAACACTTTTCTAAATACTGCCTATAAATTCAGAAACAATTATGAAGAAGTCAGAGTGAAGCATAATTATACTAGAATTTTACTCTGGAATATAATTCAATACTCTAATACAATTTTACTCTCAAATATAATTCAGTGAAAAGTAGCCTTATTGTAAATGGAATTATTGACATACATTTGAATTTTTACGGCATATTTTCACATAGGAAGTGCCAGGATATTGGTCTTCAAGGAAAACACTAAATATAGGTGCTAACAAATTTCCATGTTATAAGGGAAATAGGGGAGAAAGTTGTCAGATAGCAGGTTGAGATAAAAATCAACATTTCCTGACCATAGCCCAATATTCTTGCTAGAGGTATTTTAAATGACATGAGCCCAGGGCTCTGGTAAAAGATGAAGTCCTCTGTTCCTGGAATAGCAAGAGAAGGTTACAAATTTCTCGGAAGATGGCAGGCAGAGAGCAAGAACTGAATCCACAAAAGTGTCTAACATAGAGATTAGGAGGCAGGAGGTAAGCATGAGGGAGAAATGCAGCCCACAGAGGTTTCTTTTCTGCAATATTTGGACTACTAAGGAAATTATAAATGGACTAGGGTATCTGTGAACCATCAAAAAACATACGTAAATTTGTGTATGTGTTTGGACTCATTCATTACCATGAGGGTGCCCACAACTTTCATCAGATTTTCCTATGGTCTCCTAACCAAATGGATTAAGTAAGATTTGCCAGCCTAGAGAGATGCCTTGAGAAATGAATTTGATATTGCTTGTAGAAGAAAGTCACTTTACTGGCTTCTGCATGGTTTAGGCCTTTGCCTACCATTTTCATTCTCAGCTGAAAGACAGCACAAAGTGGTAGCATGGCAAACTCTAGAGAAAGATGGCTGAGATTCAGATCCACACCCTACCACTTTGCAGTTGTGTGACTTTGAGCTGGTTACTTGGCTATTTAACCTGTCTGCAGCTCAGTTTCCTTAAAAATGAAGATAATTATAATAGCATCTATTTCATCTGGTTTGAAGGCACACTGAGCTCCCCCACGTTGATCTTCTCCCATTACATAAAACACCATGTTCCTCCTTACCTCATAGTCTTTGTACAAGCTATTCCTTATGCATGAAAAGTCTTTCGCTCATTCCTTCCCTAGCAAATTACTGATGATCCCTTAAGGCTCAGTTTAAATTTCACTTCATCAGAAAAGCTCTGACCCCCGCATAGCTCAGTTTAGTCCCTCTCTATAATATCTGACATGATGCAGTGGTCTGCTGAAGTTGGCTCACGCTGGCTAACCAGAGCTGATTGTTGAATGTTCTGGAACTGTGTGAGCTGGCAACTGCCACTGCCCGAAGCTTGAAATTAACTGTGGATATATTTACACTGCAGAAATTGGCAGATGCTATAAATCAGGATATTTTTTGAAAGCTCATTTACCAACAACCACTGTATACAGCATCCTGTATGTTTTCTTTTTCACACTTATCACAATTTTAATTATGTCTTAATTCTCTGATTGCTTATGTAATGTCTGTGTCTCTCACGAAGAAGTAAGTTTCATTAGGCAGGAAGCACATCTGCCTATTCACTGCTATACTTATAATAGTCTAGTCTGGGCATTTAACTTTGTCAAAGAAACTAATCAAAAAAAAAGGTAATCTGCAAATAGCACTTATGTCACTTCCAGGCACAAGAGGAGAATTACTTAGGGATAAAGAAGTCAAGCCAATGTGACATTCTTCTTCTGAAACTCTCTCCCATGTGTCATGTGATAGCTGGTGGTGTAATACATGATGTGGTTCTCAATATGGGGACATTAGAAGCTCCTGACAACCATAGAACTTGAGTTACTTTGTGGGATAACAATATGGCACATGTTTTCTACTCAGGATTGGTGAAATGCAGCCTATCACCTTATCAAAACTGTCTTTCTTGGTCATCTGGGTAGCCTTAGTACTCCTAGACATGCCACGATCTGTGTGCTTCTCTGCCGCCTATACTAGTCCACTTGAGTCAACTTCAGATGGGGCTACATGGATGTAAAAATAATAGCTGTGAAATAGTGTCTCCAGGGTAGTGTACTGTCCATCACCCCATGGTACTATGCAGCTGAAAGAGAATGTCACATGGGTAGTTATGATTACCTGAAGCCCATGAATTAGGAAAATATAAGGAACTCAAAAAAGACAGTCCAAATGGCTTGTCAGAGATGGAGAGCCTGGACCTGTCTCAAGAGCTGGGCTATAGTGGTCTGAGTGTCTGCTTCCTGGGTCTTAGTGCCTTCAAACCCTGACAGCCACCTACCTGGCCAGCAAGCCCCCCAAATACCTGGAAAAAGAGCAACTTCATTTTTCATCTGGGGCAGTTGACCTCTACTGGACCCAGTCTCCACAAAAAACTGATTCCAGTGGATCTGCTTAGGAGACAATGGCCCCTGCTCCCACCCAAGAAGTCTTGCAAAGCCAGGCAGACTTAGAGTGAGTAAAAATGGGCTCCATGGAAACAAGATATACAACTGCAAGAACACACCAAGCCACTTCCCCATCTTGAGGATATTAGTCACAGAGCTATAGATCAGTTCAGGACAAACCTGTAAGACATTTTGTAACCATAAACACAACGGAATGTCCTAAATCAGTTAGGAGACAGGCCCTCCCAGTCTAGAACCTTTGAATCCTCATCCCTTAGGGGATTGATGAAATTGAAAGGTTTAAGAATGAAGACTTGGCCTAAAATTTTATCTTAGGGCCCTCAACTGCACCCATCCTGGGAGCCTGAGAAGTTGTAATATTTTCTAATCATCAGACATCAGGAAACACAGACCAACCAACCACAAACAAGCAAACAACAAATACGAGAGGCATTGCAGCCAATGGTCTCAGCCTCCTCAGATTGGCTGAGCTTATCTGGAAAGCCTGCTTTTATCTACCCCTTTCCCAGACATAAGGCAATGGGCCTCCTGGAGAATATTTCTTTTTTTTTTTTTTTTTTTTTAATTGCATTTTAGGTTTTGGGGTACATGTGAAGAACATGCAAAATTGTTGCATAGGAACACACATGTCAGTGTGATTTGCTGCCTTCCTCCCCATCACCTACATCTGGCATTTCTCCCCTTGCTATCTCTCCCCAGCTTCCCACCCCCCACCGTCCCTCCCCTATTTCCCCCCAACTGACCCCAGTGTGTAGTGCTCCCCTCCCTGTGTCCATGTGTTCTCATTGTTCAACACCCGCCTATGAGTGAGAACATGAGGTGTTTGATCTTCTGCTCTTCTGTCAGTTTGCTGAGAATGATGGTTTCCAGGTTCATCCATGTCCCTACAAAGGACTCAAACTCATCGTTTTTTATGGCTGCATAATATTCCATGGTGTATATGTGCCACATTTTCCCTATCCAGTCTATCATCGATGGGCATTTTGGTTGGTTCCAGGTCTTTGCTATTGTAAACAGTGCTGCAATGAACATTCGTGTACACGAGTCCTTATAGTAGAACGATTTGTAATCCTTTGGATATATACCCAGTAATGGGATTGCTGGGTCAAATGGAATTTCTATTTCTATGTCCTTGAGGAATCGCCACACTGTCTTCCACAATGGTTGAACTAATTTACACTCCCACCAACAGTGCAAAAGTGTTCCTATTTCTCCACATCCTCTCCAGCATCTGCTGTCTCCAGATTTTTTAATGTTCGCCATTCTTACCGGCGTGAGATGGTATCTCAATGTAGTTTTGATTTGCATTTCTCTGATGACCAGTGATGATGAGCATTTTTTCATATGTTTGTTGGCCTCACGTATGTCTTCTTTTGTAAAGTGTCTGTTCATATCCTTTGCCCACTTTTGAATGGGCTTGTTAGTTTTTTTCTTGTAAATCTGCTTTAGTTCTTTGTAAATTTTGGATATCAGCCCTTTGTCAGATGGGTAAACTGCAAAAATTTTTTCCCAATCTGTTGGTTGCCGATTCACTCTAATGATTGTTTCTTTTGCTGTGCAGAAGCTGTGGAGTTTGATTAGGTCCCATTTGTCTATTTTGGCTTTTGTTGTCAATGCTTTTGGCGTTTTGGTCATGAAGTCCTTGCCTACACCTACGTCCTGAATGGTTTTGCCTAGATTTTCTTCTAGGGTTTTTATGGCGTTAGGTCTTATGTTTAAGTCTTTAATCCATCTGGAGTTAATTTTAGTGTAAGGTGTCAGGAAGGGGTCCAGTTTCTGCTTTCTGCACGTGGCTAGCCAGCTTTCCCAACACCATTTATTGAACAGGGAATCCTTTCCCCATTGCTTGTTTTTGTCTGGTTTGTCAAAGATCAGATGGTTGTAGATATGTTGTGTTGCCTCCGAGACCTCTGTTCTGTTCCATTGGTCTATATCTCTGTTTTGGTACCAGTACCATGCTGTTTTGATTACTGTAGCCTTGTAGTATAGTTTGAAGTCTGGTAGTGTGATGCCCCCCGCTTTGTTCTTTTTGCTTAGAATTGACTTGGCTATGCGGGCTCTCTTTTGGTTCCATATGAAGTTTAAGGTGGTTTTTTCCAGTTCTGCAAAGAAGGTCATTGGTAGCTTGATGGGGATAGCATTGAATCTGTAAATTACTTTGGGCAGTATGGCCATTTTCACGATATTGATTCTTCCTAACCATGAACATGGAATGTTTCTCCATCTGTTTGTGTCCTCTCTTATTTCGTTGAGCAGTGGCTTGTAGTTCTCCTTGAAGAGGTCCTTTACATTCCTTGTTAGTTGTATTCCTAGGTATTTTATTCTCTTTGTGGCAATTGTGAATGGAAGTTTGTTCTTGATTTGGCTCTCTT